CATGGGATTGGGCCTAAACCAGCAGTTGGACATCCCTCTTGCAATCCGGGACTGCTGGCTCCTAACTGCTTGCCTGCCTGACTGATCTCCCCTAGCCACCTCTGCCTGCCTGCCTGATTGCCCAAAACCTCTCCCTGGGGGGCGGGGCCAGCCGGGGTGAGGAGCCATGGTTTTCTGGTCGTTCCACCATTTTGGTCGGAGGGCTTTTATTATATAGGATTCCCTATGCCAGTGATGGCGAACCTTTTGAGCTCGGCTTGTCAGCATTTTGAAAAACCCTAACTTAACTTTGGTGCCATGTCACATATAGAAATTTTTTTATATTTGCAAAGATTATAGTAAAACAAAGATTTATATTTTTGATATTTATTTTATATATTTAAATGCCATTTAACAAAGAAAAACCAACCAAAAAAATGAGTTTGCGTGTCACCTCTGACACTTGTGTCATAGGTTCGCCATCACTGCCCTATGCTGTTCTTTACATCCCTGTGACTATTCTGTACCTACCAATTTGTACTTCTTAATCCCTTCATCTTTGTCACCCATCCTCCCAATAGCCCTCCTCTCTCAGAACTGTTAAAATGTTCTCTGTATTTATGAGACTGTTTCTGTTCTGCTTGTTTGTTTATTTTGTTTTCTAGATTTCACATATAAGTGAAATCATATGGCATTTGTCTTCCTCTGTCTGACTTATTTCACTCAATACAATACCCTCTAGGTTTATACAAGTTGTTGTAAATGACAACTTTTATGGTTGAGTCATATTACATTGTGTATATGCACCACTTGTTTATTCATTCATCTGTTGAAGGACAATTAGGTTACTTCATTGGCTATTACAAATAATGCTGCGATGAACATATGGATGTATATGTCTTTTCAGTTAAGTGTTTTGTGATTTTTCAGATAAATACCCAGAAATGAAATTGCTGTATCCTTCCTTCTTTGTCTCTTGTTATACAGCCTTTGTTTTAAAATCTATTTTGTCTGGTATAAATATTGCTACTTCAGCTTTTGTTTGTTTGTTTCCATTTTCATGAAATATCTTCTTCCATCCCTTTACTTTCAGTCTGTTTGTCTTTCAATCTGAAATCTTTTGAGGACAGCATATGTAAGGGTCTTGTTTGTTATGCATTCAGCCTGCACATATCTTTTGATTGGATCATTTAATCCATTTTCACTTAAAGTACTTGTTGCTAGATATGTATTTACTACCATTTTATTATTCATATTTTTGACCTCTTTTTTTCCTTCTTTTTTAAAAAAGACCTTTTTACTTCCTTGTAATACTAATTTGGTGGTGATGAACTCATTTAGCTTTTTCTTGTCTGGAAAGCTCTTTATTTGTCCTTAAATCCTACATAATTGCTCTGCTGGGTAGAGCAATCTTGGTTGCCGGTTTTTGCTTTGCTTTTCATCACTTTGAATATTTCTTGTCAGTCCCATCTGGCCTGCAAAGTTTCTATTGAGAAGTTAGCAGTTAGCTGACGATCTTATGGGAGCTCCCTTGTAGATAACTAATTGCTTTTCTCTTGTTGCTCTTAAAATTTTTCTCTTTGTCTTTAACCTTTGGTATTTTAATAATGATGTGTCTTGATGTGGGCCTCTTTGGGTTAATATTGCTTGAGACTTTCTTTACTTCCTGGGCTTTTATGTCTATTTCCTTCACCAGGTTAGGGCAGTTTTGTCATTATCTTTTCACATAGGTTTTCAGTTCCTTGCTTTCTCTTCTTCCTGCCCCCCAGTGATGCAAATGTTGGTATGATTGATGTCACAGAGGCTCCATAAATGATCCTTATTTTCTTGAATTCTTTTTCTTTTTGCTGTTCTGTTGAGTGTTTTCTGCTTTCTTATCTTCCAAATCTCTGATTTGATCTTCTGCTTCATTTACTCCACTGTTGATTCCCTGTAATGTATTCTTCATTTCAGCTAATGTATTCTTCATTTCTGACGGTTTTTTCTCTGTTTTCTATCTCTATTTTTATGTTTCCTATCTCTTTGTTAAAGTTCTCACTAAGTTCATCTACTCTTTCCCTAAGTTCATTGAGCATCCTTAAAACCAGTTCTTTTTTGAGTTTTGTTCTGTTCTGTCCTTTGGGACATGTTTCTTTGTCTCCTCTTTTTGGCTGCCTCCCTGTGTTTGCTTCTTGGTTTAAGGTAGAGCAGCTATGTCTCTGAGCTTGGTAGAATGAACTTTTGTAGTAGGTGTCCTGTAAGGTCCAGTGGCACAGTCTCCCGGATCACCTGAACTGGGCACTCCAGGTGTGCCCCCCCATGTGGGCTGTGTGCACGCTCCTGTTGTTGAGCCTTGACTATTGTTGAGACCTCAATAGAGGGATTTACCCCAAGGTCTATAGACTGGAGAACTGGCTGCTGTCACCATGGAGAATCAGGTATGCAGGGGCCAACCCCACAGAGCAGGACTTACTTCTGTAGGGCTTTCATACCCATGGAGCCCACAACTTGAGTATATCACTTATGGAGTCTGAAGCTGTCCACTGGGCGTGCTGTCTCTGAGGCTTCCGAGGATGTGCAGGCCAACGAGCCTCTTCCTGTGCTCTGCCCTGAGCTGACACCTCTTGCTCCTCAAGGAAGATCTCTGCAGCCCAGATATCTCTCCTGATTTCTAACTGCCACACATGGGTGTGGGACCAGCCTGTTTCTCTTCTCTGTCCCTCCTCCCAGTCTGGATGTGGCTTCTTCATTACACCCTTAGTTATAAGACTTCTGTTCCGCTAAATTTCAGGTGGTTCTGAATGAAGGTTGTTCTACAATTTAGTTGTAATTTTGATGTGGTTGTGGAAGGATTCGACTACTGCACTTACCTACATTACCATCTTGACTGGAACTCCTGCCTAGGTAAAATATTTAGACTGGAAAAATTACATTTTGAGCCAGGATGAGAACTAGAAAAGGAGAAAAAGAGAGAATGCAGGAAATTCTATTTGCAGAAAATGTAATTACTATACAGTAAACTAATCCTGAGCAGCAATTTTTTAAAATAAAATATACATATTCCTCTCTATGTCAAAATTGAAAGGGAAAAAAAGTCAAGACTAGCAATATCAGTAAGGGCTTTGTCTTAGTTACGTGAACTTTTAAAGGAATCTACTGCTTTTTTTCTAGCTTTTTTGAGATATAATTGACATGTAACATTGTGTAAATATAAGATATATATGTTGATTTGATATACATATATAGTGAAGTGATTGCCACAATAAGTTTAGTTAACACATCCATACCCTCATTTAATTACCATTGTTGTGGTGGTGGTGAGAACTTTTAAGATGTATTCTTTTAGTAATTTTCAATTATACAATAGAGTATTGTGTGTCGTCACCATGCAGTACCTCATTAGATCCCAGAACTTATTCATCTTATAACTGAAAGTTTTTACCTTTTTAAAAAAAATCCTCACCTGAACATATGTTTTTATTGATTTTAGAGAGAGGAAGGGAGGGCGGAGAGAGAGAGAAACTTCAATGTGAGAAAGAAACATTGTTCCGTTACCTCCCATACACGCCTGACTGGGGATCAAATCTATACGTTAGGTATGTGCCCTGACCTGAATCGAAACCACAACCTTTTAGTGTATGGGACGACACTCCAACGAACTGAGCCACCTGGTCAGGGCTGGAAGTTTATACCTTTTGACCAACATCTCATTTCTCCCCCACCCTGCCAGCCAGTAATTCAGATAGAGTGTGGTGGGTAAGGATGACTTCTCCTTGATCCACCACATCTGAAGCCTCAGCTGGGAAGACTCAGGTACTGGGGGTGACTCAATGACTGGGGCCTGGAATCATCTGGATAAGTCTTGGCAGTTGATACTGGCCATCAGCTGGGACACCTATATGTAGTATTTCCAAGTGGGCTTTCTGCAGGGGCTAGTTTGGATGTCCTCATAGCATGTGTCTGAATTCCTAGAGTGAGTATCCCAAAAGAGCAAGATGAAACACATGGCATTTTTGTGATTTAGCGTCAAAATTCACATAGCATCATTCTGCATTTCTCTCTTGGTTGAAGCAGTCATAAATGTTTGCCCAGATTGGAGGGGAAAGAAGATAAATGCCACCTCTCCAGGAGAGAAGTGTTAAGGTCACATTGTAAAAAGAGCACTTGGTATATGAAATAGGATTTCAGCTCCCTTTGGAAAATACTGTCTGCAATAATATACATGTCTACATGTGAAGGGAGCTTTCTAACAGAGTGAAGAGCGTTGACACTTGAAAGCCAATTTTTACTGTCTGTGGCAGTTGAAAATTAGTTTTTCCTCAAAGACTGAGATTTAAAGCAAGATTTTACATATCCCTTATGCTTTCTTTATTAGGAATTATTTTCCACTAATTTCTTGGAAGGGTAAAAAGTGCAGTGTTTTGATTAACATTTTGCTCTCATATGCACAATTTAATAAGCGCATTACAATTCTCAAACTTCTCATCAACAGATGAACAGCAGTAAGTCCAGAATGTCAGCATCTGCAGTAGTTTCTATTTTGGCTGAAAACACTGCAGTGAGGTATTGATCTGGTAACTTGATCATTCACGTATTTTTAAAAACAAAATTTGGTAGAATGCCTTAGTGGAGACTTACTGATAATAGAAAAAATAATGTTCCGTCTCTCAGTTGTGCTTTGCATTTTATTAGCTTCTATTTGATTACATAATACAAAAGTTTGGAATATTAGAAATCAGCCTACATCTTTGAAGAAAACATTAGTATTCCCTTTTTACTTTCTTCTTCTTTTTAAAAATTTTAATCTGAAAAGAGACTGAGAAAATGTCCTAATGTTTGGTTAACAAATTAAAAACCCATGTTTAAATGCTTTAGTATCCTGGTCTTATTTCACTATGTCATCAGGGGTTGATTTACCAGTTGTAAAATTACATAAGAAATCTTTTAAATGTAGAACTGTTGACACTATTTGAACTTCTATGTATATACTGTGATCTTCTGATAATGACTACATCAACTGTGACAGCTCACTGCGGCTCACCAGCCTAGCTCTGAAACCAGCGATGTATTTTCTGAGATCTGAGACAGGTCACGGGCTGTCTTGATTTCCGTACCCGAAGCTTGTTACATATTCAAATGTTCAGGCTTTTTTCACCCTTCTCCAATTCTTTTTTTGCAAACTTTATGAACAAAACAACTCTTTTAAGAAACAAACAATTGGGTCATTTGAATAGTCTATCTATTAAGAAGACAGAAAGATGTTGATTATACAGCAGGGACAGAACCAAGGGAAAGGAGTTTTGAAAGTTAAAAATTTGTCGTTTTAAAATATTTAGTAGCCCAGCCGGCATGGCTCAGTGGTTGAGCGTTGACCTATGAACCAGTAGGTCACAGTTTGAATCCTGGCCCAGGTTGCGGGCTCGATACCCAGTGTGAGGCATGCAGGAGGCAACCAATCAGTGATTCTCTCTCATCATTGATGTTTCTATCTCTCTCTCTCCCTCTCCCTTCCTCTCTGAAAGCAATAAAAATACATTATTAAAAAAAAAGAAAACCTGTCTGGCTTAGAGACTGAGTCAAGCTCTCTAATTTGGTAAGCATAAAGCCGGTATTTTCTTTCCTAAAGTAAAGGAATGAAGGTATAGACTGATTTGTGCAGGCATTTAGTATGGCTTTTATAAGAAATTATATAAGTCACTGATTCTCCCTTTGAATGTCGCCTCCATTGGGCCGCCACATCAGGCTTTGTAGGTAGGTGTAGCTTGGGGTAGGTTGAGATTGGGGAACAGGCATTCAGGAAGGTTCCCTTTTGGGCTATATGACAAAGAACAGACCAGCAAGCTGTCCTTCTTCCTCAAGCCAGGAGGTCACAGCTACTACAGTGCTCATGGCAAAGTCCAGTCTGGCTTAGTGGTGCTGCTGCCCAAAGTGGAGCTAATTGGAAGAGAGCCCACCTTCTACAAAAGGCCTGGGTATGCTTCCCAAAGTCCTTTTATTTGTCTTCCAAATGAGAACCCAGAACAATGGTAATTATCTTTATAGTCACAAGGAGGCAAAGATATTTCAAAATATAAGACCAAAACCATACATAAGGAATGTGGCCTCATTTACCAGGCATTGGGACTCACTTTATGCCAACATGGCAGAAAACAACTGATTTGCCCCATATTTTCATGGAGTTGACCAATCATTTTGACCCTGTATAGATACAGAACTTGAAATAATTTCTTCAAAAACGAAAAGAGACTGAGAAAATGTCCTAATGTTTGGTTAACAAATTAAAAACCCATGTTTAAATGCTTTAGTATCCTGGTCTTATTTCACTATGTCATCAGGGGTTGATTTACCAGTTGTAAAATTACATAAGAAATCTTTTAAATGTAGAACTGTTGACACTATTTGAACTTCTATGTATATACTGTGATCTTCTGATAATGACTACATCAACTGTGACAGCTCACTGCGGCTCACCAGCCTAGCTCTGAAACCAGCGATGTATTTTCTGAGATCTGAGACAGGTCACGGGCTGTCTTGATTTCCGTACCCGAAGCTTGTTACATATTCAAATGTTCAGGCTTTTTTCACCCTTCTCCAATTCTTTTTTTGCAAACTTTATGAACAAAACAACTCTTTTAAGAAACAAACAATTGGGTCATTTGAATAGTCTATCTATTAAGAAGACAGAAAGATGTTGATTATACAGCAGGGACAGAACCAAGGGAAAGGAGTTTTGAAAGTTGAAAATTTGTCGTTTTAAAATATTTAGTAGCCCAGCCGGCATGGCTCAGTGGTTGAGCGTTGACCTATGAACCAGTAGGTCACAGTTTGAATCCTGGCCCAGGTTGCGGGCTCGATACCCAGTGTGAGGCATGCAGGAGGCAACCAATCAGTGATTCTCTCTCATCATTGATGTTTCTATCTCTCTCTCCCTCTCCCTTCCTCTCTGAAAGCAATAAAAATACATTATTAAAAAAAAAGAAAACCTGTCTGGCTTAGAGACTGAGTCAAGCTCTCTAATTTGGTAAGCATAAAGCCAGTATTTTCTTTCCTAAAGAAAAGAAAAGGAATGAAGGTATAGACTGATTTGTGCAGGCATTTAGTATGGCTTTTATAAGAAATTATATAAGTCACTGATTCTCCCTTTGAATGTCGCCTCCATTGGGCCGCCACATCAGGCTTTGTAGGTAGGTGTAGCTTGGGGTAGGTTGAGATTGGGGAACAGGCATTCAGGAAGGTTCCCTTTTGGGCTATATGACAAAGAACAGACCAGCAAGCTGTCCTTCTTCCTCAAGCCAGGAGGTCACAGCTACTATAGTGCTCATGGCAAAGTCCAGTCTGGCTTAGTGGTGCTGCTGCCCAAAGTGGAGCTAATTGGAAGAGAGCCACCTTCTACAAAAGGCCTGGGTATGCTTCCCAAAGTCCTTTCATTTGTTTTCCAATATGAGAACCCAGAACAATGGTAATTATCTTTATAATCACAAGGAGGCAAAGATATTTCAAAATATAAGACCAAAGTCATAAATAAGGAATGTGGCCTCATTTACCAGTCATTGGGACTCACTTTATGCCAACATGGCAGAAAAAAACTGACTTGCCCAGTATTTTCATGGAGTTGACCAATCATTTTGACCCTGTATAGATACAGAACTTGAAATAATTTCTTCAAAAACTGAGGCTTCAGTATTTGACCTTAAAAATGTCAAGCCTAGAAGTTGTAAAAGTTGGGTTCCCAGGATAAAATATGACTGAAAGAGGAACTAATTATGGTCTGGAGCTTTGTGAGCTGTAAAAACCCATAGAAAGCTGTCTGGTTCCTAGTGCTCTTGTGCTCTGTTCTAATATATGATTTTGCTTTAATACTGTTGGGAATGTTGGAGATCAATTGAATTGTTTATTCAAACTCATAAATGCGAATTAATGTCTCAGTCTGCACAATACTCTGAGAATTAGTAGTGTTTTGTCTAAAAAATGAGGATTCCCTTAAAAGTTAGCACATGGCTTTTATTTGGAGAGATGTTAGACTGATGAGTCTTAATTTGACTGAGTACAATAAAAATCTTTTTAAAAAAATATATTTTATCGATTTTACAGAGAGGAAGGGAGGAGAGTTAGAAACATTATCAGCTGCCTCCTGCACACCCCCTACTGGGGATTGAGCCCGGAACCAAGGTACATGCCCTTGATCAGACTTGAACACTTGAACCCCGGATCCTTCAGTACCCAGGTGGATGCTCTATCTCTAAGCCAAACCAGTTAGGTCAATGAAAATATTTTTAATGAAGATGGAGATGCTGGATATATTATACTCTACAACCTGTTATCAACCTTCTAAATAAGCCCCAGGTAGAAAATTAAGATTAGCATCTATTACATTTCTTTGTGAGACATGTTTTTATCTAAGCTATTTGGATTCCAGCATTTCATCTGGAATGTGTATATTGCATAGTTGACAAATACTGTTAATGGAAAACTACTGTGCTAATTTGCATGGTTATTGTATGAATGAGCTTTTGCTTCTTATGTTGTAATGAGAAACTTGCACAATCTCAACGGCTTATAACAACAAAGGTTTATTTCTCACTCATGGACCATGTTATCTATGGCTGTGCTCAATATGTGTTCATTTCAACATCCAGGCAAAGGAGCAACACCTGTTTAGGACACTCATTATTGTGACACAGGGAAGAGTGTAACGGCTGAACTATGCAATGGATCTTAAGCTTCTGTTGAGATGGTATATGTGGATCATATCTCACATTTCATTGGCTAAAGCAAATCACAGGATTAAGATTAATATTAATGTAAAAGGGAAGTATGTACTTCTATAGGAAGGGACTGCAAGTTACATGGAAATGTGGAGGATACACAATTTTATTATAGGAAGTAAAAGTGAATAATTGAAAACAACAATATAATCTCCCATAGCTATTAAATGAGATGCAGCTGATAAAGAAATAATTCAACAGATTGTTATGCTCTGATCATTCGAATTAGACCAACCTGATGGTTTATGTAATATCCTTGCAAACTTTATCACTGTACTCCAAATTTTAAAAAATATTTTTATTGCTATCAGAGAGGAAGGGAGAGGGAGAGAGAGATAGAAACATCAATGATGAGAGGGAATTATTGATTGGCTGCTCCTGTACCCCCCACGTTGGGGATCCAGCCCATAACCTGGGCATGCGCTCTGACAGGGAATCAAACCCAGACCTCCTGGTTCATAGGTCAGTGCTCAACCACTGAGCCACGCCGGCCAGGCTGCACTTCCAATTTAAGAATCATGAAACTCCTAGTGAAATACAAACCATTACTGTTTAGTGCTATTGTGTTCTTTTAGGGGTGGAAAGATGGGGGGCAAAAGTCTCCTTGACAGGACCAATCACTAAACAGTTATGTCAAAGACAGTGACTATTCTAACAGCAGAGCTCCAAAGCACTTCTTACCACATATGGCTCACATGTTCTTTCAGAATGTATGGCAGCCACCACCATTCATAGTCCCTATTACTGTCTGTAACTCTGTACTTTAAATGTGCCCCCTTCTCAAAATCTTTTCTTGCGAAGAGCTGTTATTGATTTTCTTCAACATTCCATTGAGATGCCACATGTTTAAAGCTGAATGTCAGTATATATCCTTCCAGCAATTCTTCTGGCTGTAATCATCCCACACGTCTACGTTGGCTCCTCATATAGGAGCTAGCTGGTTATCCTGATGTCACACACATGCCCAGGGCAGGGAACTGTTTTTGAAGAGCTCTGCTACCTTGCAGATTTTGTTGTCTTCATTCGTGATTCAAGAATTTTGGTATGATGTCTGATTTTATATATTTTTGGGAAGAGATTGAGGTCCAGCATAATTTCAAAGACCTTAGGTTTTGTCTGTTGCTTAATGCCACCCTATTTTTCAGTTTCCTTATGATATGATGTTCTTCCTGATATGATCGCTAATTTTTCTTTATTAGTGCATGTGATAAAGTTACCCTCCCGCCACACTCCACTGCCTTTAAAGAGAAAATTGTCATTATTATTGGATGAGATGAGTCATTAAAGAGATTCTGGGTAATGAGCAGACCTAATAGAGTAGGTAAAGGTGAGAGCATTCGGTTTGGAACTTGCCTTTCATCTTTGCAGGAACACTGAGGTTTCCAAAAGACAAAAACCAGCAACTGAGTGGAAGATTCAACATAGAGGCATAACCTTTGAACTTGAAGAGTTGGAAATTCTTCTGCTTGCCCCCAGTGGATTGCTGACATAAGATAGAACACATGCTATGAGCCTTAAAATGCATGGAACTGCTGAAAAAGCAAATGTTCCTTAAAAGCCTTCACAATTCAGCAGCAAAAAGGGCTTCAAAAGTCCCCAAAGGAACCCTCGTGCACTATTGTGGGAATATAAATTGCTGCAGCCACTATGAAAAACAAAATGAAGATTCCGCAAAATATTAAGAATATGCCCGGCCAGTGTGGTTCAGTGGTTGAGGAGGTCATAGTTCGATTCCCAGTCAGGGTACATGCCTAGGTTTCGGGCTCGATTCCCAGTAGGGGGCATGCAGGAGGCAGCTGATCAATTATTCTCTCTCATCATTAATGTTTCTATCTCTCCCTTTCCCTTCCTCTCTCTGAATCATTAAAAACATATTATTATTTTTTAAAATTAAGAATAGAAATATCTCCGACTGGCTTATTTCACTTAGCATAATGCTCTTGAGGTCCATCCATGCTGTGCAAATGGTAGGAGTTCTTTCTTTTTTACAGTACAGCAGCATAGTATTCCATGATAATCCAGTCAGAGAAAGATAAATATCACATGATCTCACTCATTTGTAGAATATAATGAGCAACATAAACTGATGAACAAAAATGGATCCAGAGACATAAAAACATTGAACAGACTGTCAAACCTCAGAGGGAAGGGAGAGGAGGGTTTCGGGTGGGAGCAAGAGATCAACCAAAGGACTTGTATGCATACATATAAGCATAACCAACTGACACAGACAGTAGTGGGGTGAGGGCCTGTGCTGGGGGGCGGGAGTGGATGGGGAGAGGTCAATGGGGGAAAAAGGAGACATACGTAATAGTTTCAACAATAAAGAATTAAAAACAACATAAAAAAGAACTATCATATCATCTAGCAATTCCATTTCTGGATATTTATCCAAAGAAAATGAAAACACTAACTCAAAAAGATATATGCATCCCCGTGTTCATTGCAGCATTATTTACAATAGCCAAGGTATGGAAACAGCTTAAGTGTCCATAGACAGATGAATGGATATATATACTACTCAGCCATAAAAAAAAAAGATGAAATATTGCCATTTTCAACAGCATGGATGAATCTTGAGAGTACTATGCTAAATGAAATAAGTTAGGTGGAAAAGGACAAAAACCATATGATATTACTCATATGCAAAATATAAGACAAAATAGAAACAAATGAACAAACAAAACAAACTCATAGAAACAGACAACAGAATAATGGGCACAAGAGTGGAAGAGGATTGTAAGAAGGCAAGATGGGTAAAGGGGATCAAATACATGGTGATGGAAGGAAACCAGACTTTTGGTGGAGAGCACACTGTAGCATATACAGATATTGAATTATGTTGTACAGGTGAACCCTACACAATGTTATTAACCAACTATAGGCCCGGTGCATGAAATTCATGCACGTGTGTGTGTGTGTGTGTGTGTGTGTGTGTGTGTCCCTCAGCCCAGCTGGGGCCCTCTTGCTGTCTGGGAGCCCTTGGGGAATGTCTGACTGATGGCTTAGGCAGGGGGAGTGGGCCTAAGCTGGCAGTAGGACATCCTTAGCACTGCGTTGGAGGCGGGAGAGGCTCCCGCCACCGCTGCTGCACTTGCCAGCCGTGAGCCTGGCTCAGGGCTTCTGGCTGAGCGGTGCTCCCCCTGTGGGAGCGCACTGACCACCAGGGGGCAGCTCCTGTGTTGAGTGTCTGCTCCCTGGTGGTCAGTGAGAGTCATAGTGACTGGTTGTTCCAGCGACCGGTTGTTCTGCCGTTCGTTCAATTTGCATATTAGCCTTTTATTATATAGGATGTTACCTAAAAAAAACATATCCCAAAAGGAACTGAGATAAAGGACCAAGGGTAAAACCCCATCCTCATCATGTGAAAGAGATGGCAAGCCAAAATTCCTCTAAGGAATTTTGAAACCAGGGAGGGAACTCTCTCCTTCTGTCTCTAGGAGATTAGGGAAGGACGGAACTCAAGAGGCAAAGTGGCTGATGGCACTGGCTAGGGCATTGGTCCCACATCCAGCAGAGACCAAGATTTCTGTCAGTTCTGGTGTGGGTGCCTGCCCAGCTCTTGCTTAGGTAAGATTGACTGCTAAATATCTAACTCACCAAGTATGTAACTCAGACTGTGCAAGGCATGGAAGAGGGGATGTGCCAGCCAAAGCCAATCTGGACCCCAGAGCCCAGAAAAGGGAAAGGGAAATCTCATCCCCTTTCTCCAGGGAGGAGGGGTTGGTACTCTTGTCAGATTTCAAGAAATTTATTAGACCACAGTTACCTGTGGGCAGGGTCACTGTGATTAAAGATGCATTTCCTTCTCTTTACTTTCATACAATGGGCTGACATGAACCTCTATTTAAAACACAGATATTTTACTCCTTTTTGGTGTGTCTCACTCATGCAGCAGAAGGAATAAAATTATCTGGGGGCCTACCTTCTGGGGAAGGCTCTATTCTTTTTCATAGGTGCTTTATTTCCTGGGTTAAGTCCTTTGCAGGGAGAGTTAGTCTTCCTTGGTCCAGGTAAAATTACCTATATTCTTAGCAGTTTTTAAAAAAAATCTTTCTTGTGCCCTGGAAATTTCTGTGAGGAACAGGATACACTATCTTGAACATGTTCCCAACCTGGCTTCATTCCATTGGTTGGAGAGAATTAATTCATTCTCCATGGGGTAGCATCAAAGAAAAAGGAGGCAAGATTTTTCAGGGCTATCAAATGTGTACAGAGGTGTTCAGGTCTACAAATAGTACTTTCATTTGTTATAAATGTTTGCTTGGGCTTATGATGGGTTAAGCAATATTCTGGGCAGTGGACTAACATATTAGATAACCCATGCTGTACAGGTGTTTTACATATAGAATTCTTTCATGTATAAAACTGGGGAGAAAACAGCTGTTCCACAGCCCTTCTTATCCCAGCAGGCTTTTTCTTTTAACGAATAATAAAAATATATTGCTCCTTGCACATTCCCTATTTCTGCTGTCACAAAGATTATATCCAGGAGACATGTGATTCCAGAAGATCCACTTGACGATAGGTAAATACTACAAAATAGTTTGGCTAAATATCTGGGAGTTGGACCCAACTATCCTGTCCCCTTTGAAATTTTGCACAGAATGGCAATTTGCTACTGGCCTTCTGCAGCCTATTTTGTGATAGATGTGAATCACTATAGTGTTTAGACTCTGCATATGTTGCTCCTTCAAGGAACAAGTCTCTATTGGCCAGAAGATAATCCATTAGCCATAATGAAAACAAAAAAGAGTGGTAAGGTTAACAGTACAACATGGAACTCACTTTCAGGCTCTCATATTCAGTGGTGGGACACAGTAAGGAAGAGTGTTATTATGGGAAACTAACTGCTAGGATCATTGGATGTATTTTCCATCAGAAAACTGATATTTTGTGCCAAGAGCCATGAATCCAGATGGTAACCCTACAATTCAGCTGCTCACCAGGAATTGTTCTGCTAATTTGATGGCCTTGTCTATTGAGAGCAGGAATGTAACATTGAATTGAGAGCATTCCTGGGGACTTCAAAGGATGATCATGAACTGGGAGCATTTACCACTTTCTGATTCCTTATGTCTGATTTATGACATAATTTGGATCCAGGAATTCTCAAAAAATGAGTTATGAGTATAATTATTTCACGTAAACGTCTTTGTTCATATCTGATTAGAATTTAGTGATTTTTCTAGTTTAACTGAAATATATTTCAACATTAAAGATTATTGTAGCATCATTATACTCTAGGTTTTATGTACTCCAGGAAGTGAAAATTTCTTTTCCCAGAATTTCTTGCTTTGAGTAATGGTTGGTGCTCAACATTATGTATATGAGCCAATAACTATGTCAAACTCCACAAATGTTTCTTGAATATATAGTACTTGAAAAGTGGGTTCCAAGGTGAAGCAAGGTATGGATCCTGATGGAAAAGAGATCAAGATCTACATATCAGAACATCCTGATGATGCCCTGACCGGTTTGGCTCAGTGGATAGAGCGTCGGCCTGCGGACTGAAGGATCCCAGGTTCAATTCCAGTCAAGGGCATGTACCTTGGTTGCGGGCACATCCCCAGTAGGGGGTGTGCAAGAGGCAGCTGATCGATGTTTCTCTCTCATCGATGTTCCTAACTCTCTATCCCTCTCCCTTCCTCTCTGTAAAAAATCAATAAAATATATTTAAAAAGAAAAGAAAACAAAAAAAACCCATCCTGATGAAATGTCAAAAATGTAATGTCCAACATATAGATGTTTGAAAATTGAATTTTTTTCCAGTCTTACCATCATAGGACAATGTAAATGTAGCTTTCAAATGTTGAGTTTTCACTCAATGCCCAATTCTGTTGAATTTTTCCAGGTATAAATAATCACTTCTATTCAACACTTAGGTTAAAAATCCAATTATTAATATTAATAGAGAATTTCATAATACTCTGTTTGATAAAGACATTTTCCAGATATTTTTCCTTTTATCCTCCTCATTCTTATTCTGCTTTAAAAAATTCATAAAGAATTAAAAAAGAAAAATCAAAAGAAAAAATGATAAAGTTTATTTTTCTAAAATGAACTATTTAGTGAGCTTTAGTATAGTCCCAAGATTGTGTGACCATCACCACTATATAATTAGGAAACATTTTCATCACTCCAAAAAAAAAGAAACCCTATATCCATTAGCAGTATCTTCCCCCTCCTCTGTACCCCCAGCCCCTGGCAACCACTAATCTACTTTCTGTCTCTGTGGATTTGCCGATTCTGGACATTATATAAATGAAACCATATGATATTTGGCCTTTTGTGTCCGGCTTCTTTTATTTAGCATAATTCTTTCAAGGTTCATGCATGTTTTAGCATGAATCAGTACGTTATTTCTTTTTATATCTGAGTAATATTCCATTGTATGGCTATACCACATTTTGTTTATACATTCATCAGTGGATGGACATTTGGATTGTTTCTACTTTGGGGGCTATTATGAATAATGCTATTAAGAGCATTTGTGTACAAGTTTTTGTGTGAAAATATCTTTTCAATTCTCTTAGGTGTATACTCAGGATTGGAATTGCTGGGTCATATGGAAACTATGCTTAAGTATTTGAAGAATTGCCAGATTGTTTTTCAAAGTGGCCGCACTAATTTACGTTCTTATCATCAATGTCTGAGAGTTCCAATCCTTCACATCCTGTTAACACTTATTATTGTACATCATTTTCATTATAGCCATCCTTGTGGGTGTGAAGTGGTATCTCTCATTGTGGTCTGATTTGCATTTCCCTAATGACTAATGACGTTGAGCGAGCATTGTTCATGTGCTTAGTTGTCATTTGTATATCTTCTTTGGAGAAATGTCTATTCAAATCCTTTGCCCATTTAAAAAATTGGGTTGTCTTTTTATTATTGAGCGATCTAAGTTCTTTATATATTCTGGATACTAGACCCTTATTACACATATAATTTGCAAATATTTTCTCCTTTTCTGTAGGCTGTCTTTTTACTTTCTTGGTAGTGTCCTTTGAAGCAAGCCCATTTTTAACTTTGATGATGTCTAATTTATGTTTTTTTTCTTTAGTTACTTGTGCTTTATGTGTCATATCTAAGAAACCATTGCCTAATCAAAGGTCACCAAGCTTTACCTCTGTGTTTTCTTCTAAGAGTTTCATAATTTTAGCTTTTGCATTTAGGTATTTGATCCATTTTTCATTAATTTTTGAATATTGTGTGAGATAGGGTCCAACCTCACTCTTTTGAATGTGGATATCTATTCCATTTTCTAGAAACTTTTGCTTCTATTTAAAAATTTGGTAAGTATTGATAAAGGAACTGATATAATTCTAGTGAAATACAATATTAACAATAAAATGAAAACTCAGAATTTTTTAGGTTCAAGTTACCCTGGTTTTCATCTAAAGGAAACCACTAAGTCTCCTTTGTTTTACTTGAAATCATCTGAGGATCATAGATTTGTAAAGCTTTCTTTTGAAAAACCAGCTGACTATATAGGTTTTGGTAGTTTCTCACAGGGCATTTTTAAAGAGCAAACTGCTTGAGCTGACTTGGAATTCCTCAGCTGGTATAGTTGACCCTCTGCATCCATGGGTTCCACATTTGTGGATTCAACCAAACATAGATTGAAAAAATGCATGTAGCCCTAGTCGGTTTGGCTCAGTGGACAGAGCGTCAGCCTGTGGACTGAAAGGTCCTGGGTTCAATTCTGGTCAAGGGCACATGTCTGGGTTACAGGCTTGGTCCCCAGTAGGGGGCCTGCAAGAGGCAGCTGATCAATGATTCTCTCTCATCATTGATGTTTCTATCTCTCTCTTCCTCTTCCTTCCTCTCTGAAATCAATAAAAATATATTAAAAAAAGAAAAAATGTATGTATACATTATTGCTAATGTATACTATATACGTACCTAAGCCTATAATGGTTGTGTCCGTAATGAACATGTATAGACTTTTTTCATGTCATTATTCCCTATACAATAACAGTTAGACAACTATTTACAGAACATTTACATTGTATTGGGTAGAATAAATAATCTAGAGATGTTTAAAGTATATGGGAGTATGTGTGATTATATGCAAATGCTATGCCATTTTATATTAGGGACTTGAACATCCTCAGATTATGGTATTGAGGGGGTCCTCGAACCAGTCTCCCATGGATACTGACTGTATGGCTGTAATTGGTATTTTGAACATGAAGCAAGCATAGTGGACAGTATATTTTATGTCTTATTTTAGCATTACTCTTCCTCCACATTTTTATAGCAATGATTGGACAGCCAATATTTTTGGTTTTACCCTCTTATTTCATGGCATTTATTAAGTTGGTTTTAGTCAATTGTAGCTGTTAAGTTTGAATCCTGTTCTTCTATTACCCATAATGCTCCCTTGCCTGTGTGTAGCTAGAATATGCAGCTATTTTATTCAGAAATGGTCAATGAAATTATTCATCCTAGAGGACAAAATATCTCAAATGAGAAAAGTTTGGCTTCATCTACTTCATTTTTAAAATCAGTGCAATTTCCAACTTAGCATTTAGGTTGAGAAAATATTGGCTGCCTTTGAAAATGTTATAGAAATAAAAGCAGATACAGCAATGCACTTATTTTCCTCAAAGACATTCAGACCTAAGGCTTTTCTCCAACCTGGCTGCTGTGGAACTGGCATTCTAACAAGCCGATGCTCTAAGCAAGAATGAGAATTATTAATGCATCACAGCATTGTCACCAACAGACCACAAAATCCATTTTAAAAATTCTTTTACATACATAGTGCAGATTCTGCTGTAGCACTGTGTGCTCTAAAAGCTGCAGGTACACTTTAGAAAACACTGATGAAGCCATTACTGCTCTGTCCATTTGTTCATAGTATATATCATTATACAAGAAATTTAAGAACCATAATGATGGAAAATCACACAGAAAGAAAAGAAAAGGAACATGGACTCTGACAGAAACAAGGGCTACATTTTTATTCAAGAGGTCCCTAATGATGGAAAATCACAGTGAAAGGCAGAGGGTAAACTGGATTCCATAAAGGGCCTGACACACACTAGTAGTACAACCAGGAGAACAGTCATAGCAGACGTGTAAAAATAAAGAAAAACAAAATTAACGAGAGACAAGCTGTAATGGGGCTGACTCACAAAACAGCAACAAATCACAGTCAATTCTGAAGATTAATTTCGAAGAATCTTCTGAAATAAGCCAGGAGACAGGCAGCATCAATATTAATGAAGTTGAAATGGAACTCCAAAAGAGCCACAACATAAAATGGCACATGAATGTTTTGTTTTTAAATGGATTGTAGATTGGATCACAGAACCGTCAGGAAAATGAAGGGACATTCACAAGAACATCATAACCGGGCCAGCTGTGTGATAAGCAGTTACAACATCAGTGCTAAACTCTCCAACGTAAAAGAAAAACATCAGTGTTGAAATAAAAGAAAATGTCAAAAGTTTGCAGATGAGGTAAGAGAAAGTGAAGAAAAGATTTTATTGAGACTCAATAGCCCATTCGGTGTCCATATCGAATGTCTTCGATAAAACAGACAATAGGCATTCGAAGAAAGATCAAAATTTGATTCCATCTTGTATTGCATTCAATTTCCCTTCAGATTGCCAGCTAAGTCAGCCCTGGAATCAGCCCAATGCTTCTACTGCTTAAACTACTTGCTGGCTGTAAACTGGATGCTTTTGGAAGCTGTAGAACTTTGACAGGCTCCTAGAGTTCTGCAGACGTATCTCCCATGCATCCTTGTAAACTAAACTTTAAATATTTAATATGTTAATAGTGCAGGCTACATAAAGGAGTGTTATAATCCAAATTTTTATAAAATGAAGGATTTGTTATTAAAAGGCAAAGTATCATACCCTCATTATTTTTTTATTTTATTTTATTTTATTTTTTAAAATATATTTTATTGATCCTCCACAGAGAGGAAGGGAGAGGGACTGCCGGCAACCAAGGTACATGCCCTTGACCAGAATCGAACCCGGGACCCTTGAGTTCACAGGCCGATGCTCTATCCACTGAGCCAAACCGGCCAGGGCATACCCCCATTATTTTGATGGAATGCTGACCTCCAGGTGGACGGGCCCAGGTGCTGTGTAGCAATGTAGTTGTGGCAATTCCACTTGGCATTTCTACTGCCTAGTGGTACCACAGAGAGAAAATAACACCTGCTTCAAGCTCTTTCTCTCTTCCTATAGCTCTACATGGCTGCAGGTTGTTTTCTAATTCCTACCCGCAATTAGAAAAGCAAGTCATGTCTGGCACAAAACAACTTCTGTAGGGTTGGTTTCTCTGACACTCTCGCCCAGAAAGATGGGTGGGAAGTTATTGGTGGGTAACTTAAACTAAGGGGGCTTTTGACAAAGCCTTGCTCTCTGCACTACCACAGGAAATAGTATTAGTACTGTAGTAATTTAAAAATATGTGCACATATTCTTTGGTACTCTTCCCTTCCAGAGCGGGCACTTAATTTTAATCTCCCTCTCCTTGATAGTGTGCTGGACTTAGTGATAAGTACGATGTAATGAAAATGATGAAGCATGACATTGGAGACTAGGTCATAAAAGGTACTGCGCCTTCTCCCTTGCTCTCTCTTGAATCACTCACTCCGGGAGAAGTGGCCACTTCATGAGGAAATCTCAGGAAGACACTCAAGCAGTGCTATAGAGAAGCCCAGCGGTCGGGGAACTGAGCCTCCAAAGAGCAGCCAACTGGAGTAACTGAGGCCTTCTGTCAAGAGCCATGTGTGTGAGCCATTCTCCAGACCCAGTCAACTTTCAGATGACTGTAGCTGGTGCCAACATCTTGACTACAACCTCCTGAGAGTCCCTGAGCTAGACTCCCTTAGCTGAACCTCTTCCAAATTTCTGAGATAATAAATGTTTGTTGTGTAAGCTGCTAGGTTTGGGGATGGTTTACTGCATAGCAATAGATAATAAATACAAGCCCCCACCATTTATTTATGGTATTTATGGCTCTGTGCAAAACTTATGAGTGTGAACTTTTTTGTAAAGATCTAAGATTAATCAATGAATCACCTACTAAAAATGCTGTTTTCTGTGGCTCATCCCCTGAAATGGGACCTATGATTCTGTATTTTAACTAGCTTTCCAGAGGATTCTGATGTAGTTATCCAGGGAACACTATTTGAGGAATATTTCATTAAGCCTTTACCTTTTTCCTTTAAAAAATGCACATATTTTAAATAAGACCCTATGTTCCTATTAAAAAATTATTACATTATTTTTTTTAAATACCACCCAAAGACTGATTGGAGTTCCTGGAAAGAGAAGGGACTAATGTATCCTGATGAGGAGAAGATACTTTAGGGACTAACAACTCCTCAAACCAGACCATTAAGCAATTGTCTTTTTTGCTTTGGTGGACATAGCGGGTATGACACCTGCACTCCCCAGGGAATTTTGGAGTTGCAGTTAGGATAATTCTACGGGAAAAAGACTAGACCTAATTTTGTTCACAAGTTTATCTAATTTTTAGGAGATGAAGACAGGGCCATCTCAGAGACGCAGATAGTTGTCAACATGGTAGATCTGAAGGCCCCCAAAAGCCTTTGCTGATGGAGCTATCCTTTACTCTCATATTATAGATGCATTTTCTTATTTCAACCACATATCTTAAAATGCAAATACTTTTAGGATAAGTAGTATTCTTAACCATCTTTCCCTAAAAGAGAGTGAATGCATTAAAAAAAAATTCCTTTTCTTGACATTCTTAGCAAGGAGTTAGGGAAGTGGAGAGAAAGAAGGGCTATTTATGATACCATCAGTCATAAGGAGCACCTTTACTTGATGTATTTTTAAAAAAGAAAACATGTTTCTAATTATAATCGGAAGATGTTATCAATTGTAAGATACTTCTTAATTTCTGAGATATTAAAATGTGAAAAAGTATGCATCTTAGAATAGATGAAATAAAAGTAATTTTATGGCCAACAACTAGATAATGAAACTATTTCTCATCTTTGTGTTTCAAAGTGTTAAAGATTATGATAGAAAGTAATATTAAAATTTTAAACTACTAATGGAATCATTATATTGGTTTATGCTTAAAATCATAGCAACAAAAATTATTCCTCATACTTCTTAATTTTTAAGGTCTCACAACTTAACTAGAAATCATCAAAATAATCACAATGCTTAATACATGTGGAGATTTTTCTTTTTCTTAAAAGGTAAGCTTTTTGTTTCATTCATCATTGGGCCCTCAACAATGCTAACAAGGGTTTGGTAAAAGTTTAGAGCGGAGTTGTTAGGGAGTGGGGTGGGGGTGGGGGAAGAAAACAATAATTTTATAGCCTAAAGACATCTTTAATAGAAGATGATCTAGAATATGATCCTACCTTTCTTTACTGGGCTCTCCCTACTAAGTTTCCTGTTCTCCTTCCTTACCACTCTGCCTCTGGCTCTCAGAGAAAGTAGACAGCATTAGACCAGAACTCTCTCGATGTCGTGGCAACTC